AAAATATATTTTATTGATTTTTTACAGAGAGGAAGGGAGAGAGATAGAGAGTTAGAAACATCGATGAGAGAGAAACATCGATCAGCTGCCTCCTGCACATCCTCCCACTGGGGATGTGCCCACAACCAAGGTACATGCCCTTGACCGGAATCGAACCCGGGACCCTTCAGTCCGCAGGCCGACGCTCTATCCACTGAGCCAAACCGACTTCGGCTCATAAACAGGTTTTATGTGTGTTTTTTAATCCTCACCCAAAGATATGTTTTTACTAATTTTTTTTTTAAGAGAGAGAGAAACATTGATGGGCCCCGGCCAGGAATTGAACCCACAACACCTAGGTGTAGGGGGACAATGCTCAAACCTACTTAACCACGCAGCCAGGGCTCATAATCAGGTTTTAAGTAAGATACTGCTCTAAGCACTGTCTACATAGCTGTTTGCTCATCTCTCAAACTAGATGATGTCTAATGTCTCTTTCAGGACTAACATTCTGTAAACTCTATGGTCAACAGAAAAATCCAGTAACTAACATCTGTTGATTGCAGCATGTATGTGCCAAGAATCATGTTAAACATTCTATGTTACCCAGTGAAACACTGTGCAAAATATTTCACCTAACTCAGTAAAATAAGTACTGTATGACTCTAATTGTACCCATGAGGAAAAGGGACCAAGAGAAATAAAATAGATCACTCAGATTAAAAAACTGGTAGAGCCAGGTCTCCCACCCAGACTACCTGAATCAAACGGCTCTACTCTGAAACTTTATGCTGGTACATCTGTCATTGTGCCTTTTCTGAGACTTACAGAAGATCAGAAGACAAAAGGCAGGCAAGAAAGAGAACGTATCCAGATTTCATGAGGATAAAACAGTGAGAGGACCTTTTCAGAGGATTTGCTTTGTGGAATCAATACATGTGGTTGCCTAGGAACACTGTGATTGATTAATTCAACTGGAATCCATCCAGATTGAAATGAAGCATTTCATCCCTGTCATGAGCAATGTGATATGGGCTTCAGGAAGGTAGAAAAACTGGACTATATTAGTGACAGTAACAGGAGAAAGAGGGCCAAGCTTGATGAGTAACGTAGACATGCCCAGGCTAAAACAATTCACGCCATCTCTTTGGGAATATGCAGGACTCACTGTGACTCAGCCAGATCACTCCTAGGCTGTATTAACTGGAGTACTGTAAGTGGTAGATGGGTAAGGAGTTGAGATAAAGAATATAAAAATGAAAATCACCTGCAACCCCCTAGCCGGTTTGACTCAGTGGATAGAGCATCGGCCTGTGGACTCAAGGATCCTGGGTTTGATTCCTGGTCAAGGGCACATGCCCAGGGTTGTGGGCTTGATCCCCAGTAGGGGGAATGCAGGAGGCAGCCAATCCATGATTCTCTCTCATCATTGATGTTTCTCTCTCTCTCTTCCTCTCCCTTCTTCTCTCTGAATTCAATATATATAGAAAGAAAATCACCTGTGACAACTAAATAATGCCAGGAGATTTTCACTTAGAAACAGACTGCCTTACTAGGTTTTCTGTTACCAGATGTTACAGGAAACAACTAAAGATACAGTCAACCCTCTATATCCTCCGTCGTCTGCAACCATGGATTCAACCAACCATGGATGGAAAACATCTGGGAAAAAAAGTTATACCATTGCTGACCCTGGTACTAAGTAGTGAGGCCTAAAATGGTTGTGTCTGGACTGAACATGTACAGCCTTTTTTTCCTTGTCATTATTCACTAAGCAATACAGTATAACAACTACTTATTTAGCATTTACAGCAAGCATGTCAAACTCGCGGCCAGCGGGCCACATGCCTCATTGATTTACAGGGTATTATTAGGTATTATAAGTGACCTAGAGCTGAATTGAAGTACACAAGAGGAAATGCATGGGTTATATACAACTACTATGCCATTTTATATAAGGAGCTTGAGCATCTGTGGGTTTTGGTATCAATAGGGGTTCTTGGGACCAATCCTTTTGGATACTGAGGGACTATCATATATCATGAAGGTAAGTGGCCCATGAAGCTATCTGAATGCACTTTAGCCAGGAAGAGTGTGTCAGGAAAGGAAAATAAAAACATAGTAATCCATTCTGAATAAAACGAAGGATAGTGGAGAACAGGCTTATGCAACTTTCCAGGGAGTCAGCCAGTCACATGAAGGCAGAAGCTTGGCCCAACTTCAGGGACCCAGAATAGAAGGGGGGAAATGGAAACAATTGAGCTTGTAAACACGTGCCTAATTGAAGGGCAGAAGAAAAGGAGCTGGGGTTTCTGGACCTCTGCATAATAAAGAAGCAATATAGAAGTGTTATAAGAATGGACTACAGGGTGCAGGCAGGAAGGAAAGAAAACAAAGTTAGGTTACTTAGAAAAAAGAGAGGGAGAAGGGGGGTCGGGGGGCAGATAACTACTCAATTTTAGAGATCCCAAGATGATCTACCAAAAGGAGCCAAACAGAACAGAAAAAAAGAATCTACAACAACAACAACAAAAAAGGAAAGAAATGAAGGACAAATTGGGAAGTAGTTTGGGGGTGGAGATGTATGTAGAGAGGTGGGTAGGTAGGAAAAAAAAGATGGTTTAAAAGGAGCACTCTAAATATTTATAGCTACAATGTGAAACAAAGTAGAAATTCATAAGGAGAGACAAAGTAGAAATTCATAATACAAATAAGGTTAAGATAGAAAGGGTTATGCATAATCTATGGGTGCTAAGGGAAGAGAAACTAGAAAGAAGGAAGAGAAATGAAGAAATAATATGTGACATACATTGAGATGTCACCGAATACAGCTTTTCTTTTCCTTTTATTGGGAAGGTTGGTCAAATAAAAACGTATTAGAGATGACTGAAAAATGATGTTACTAACTTGTAAGCAGCACATAAATATGCAAGTCCCTACTATGTGCAAGGCCCTGACAGATACAATCATAAAATAAGGTCAAATCTTTGGAGAGTATACACATCCTATGAAAACCTAAAAGCTAATTAAGACAACATTTAAAACACACAAAGTCCCATATACAAGATATTAACCTGAGGAAAGAAAGGCCTTGTTTACATTAAAATCATTTTCAAACTCATAAAATCTAGTCATAGTGATTGATTAGACAAATTATTATAATTGGGCCTTTTCTACCATTAGCTAGTATCTTTTCAACCCAATTACAGGTGTCTCTCTAGTCCACTAATCAAACCAAAAAATTTATTTGCATTTACCTGGAAATATGCCGACATAAAAGTGTTATCCACAACCAAAATAATGTCTCCATGTTTATGGACAGTATGTGCACAGGCTTCAATGTCAATCATCTTCAAGCTAGGGTTTGTGGGGGTTTCAATCCAAACAAGCTAAAACAATTCAGTAAATGATAATAGTTTATCAAAAACACTGTACAGACATACATCCCATATATTGTAACCATCTGGGAGGCTATATGAGAAGAGCTGGATGATGAAGTTGAAAGGTTCAAATCTGAATCCTAGCCCACATAAATTTCTGAGAGGTCATGGCTAAGTAACTTGCCCTTTGTACCCCTCAAATTCTTCATCTGTATAATGGGGCTGGTAATATTTACCTGACAGAGTTGTTGTAAAAATCAAATGAGATAATATACATATAAGCAGAAAAGTACTCAAGGTAATGATTGTAATTATTTTCCATAAAAAAAGAGAATGTATTCCAGAGACATAATTCAGTGTCTGGAAATTTTATTCTTAAGGATAACATAGATTGTCTAAAGTTACATCCTAGAATTTTCATTAAAGAGAACTAGCTCTATGATGCAAAAAAAAAATCCTTAATGTTAAGTTAAATAATTCCAGATGCACTAGAAATTATAAATTAAGAACCCAGGACTTGAAGAGTATGGGTTTTAGAGTGAAGAAGAAAGCAACACACACACACAACAGAAAACCTGGCTACAACTCTGTGGGAACCACGCTGCTCTGAAAAGCTCACTTAAGAAAGAGACCGTATCATATACATATCTGTATATTCCAAAATCTAGTACAATTCAGGGACATAGTTGATGCTTGATAGTTATTTATTTAAGACCAAAGAAAAGAATTCTATTTGTTAAACAAGGTACCGCTGTATTGAATGACATTATCTACTGATTTCTTTTTAAGAGTTAACATTTCTTTTTTTATTACTTACATAAATGGACAAAAACTCTTGAGTTTTACTGTAGGAAAGATAAGATAATTAAGTAATGTATATTCTATGAGAATTGATTTTAAAGAATCTATAAAAATTATTCCACTCATTACAAAAATTAAAGTAAAAATAAGTAAATAAATACAAAGTAGGTTTACCTGCAAAAAAATCTACTTCAAATCATGAGGCAAATATTTTGGGGTGGAGGAGGAAATGGATTGATTCAAGTCAGTAAAGAGACAGTACATAAAGCTCTGTTGACAAGAATTAATATACTCACGATTTGCTTTCTTTCCTTAGACTCAGACTAGCTATTTTAATAAGTATCTTTTCTCCCAAGCAAGATAAAAAAAAAATTATTCTTTTGAAAATAAACCTTAATAACTCAAAGTTCACCATGGTGTTAATCTTCAAAGTATTTGTGTGAGAAAATAGTTTCATTTTTTAGCAGTCACTGCAACATAATCTTGGGTACAATTCAAACCTTTTAATCAGTAACAGAAAGTTGGAAGGGGTTGACTTATAAAAGACACTGGTCCTTCTTTTACCCATGCAGAATTTAAATGAGGTCCCAAGAAAAAATAGCACATATGCCATTCACTTCAGCACAAAACACCTTCCGGTGGCATACAAGCTTCCCAGGATGGAGGCTAAAGATTGCTAGTGGCCCTTTCTCTACTTCTATTATTCTGCCAAAGTATCCCTTAGAACCCTTAAAAAACCACTTTGCTTAGAATTTGGGGGGCTTGACAAGCTTCCTTTTCTGTAATCCAATTTCTGTGATGACTTCTGTTACCAATACTAGCTTGGTAATGCAGTTAAGAATTGTGTGCTTTTGCTAACAAATGTTCTAATACCATGCTCTGGGAATTGTGCTAAGCATTTCATAAGCCTTATCTCATTTAATTCACACAACAACCTTTCTATAAAACAGGTACAATTATCCCATTTTGCACATGAAGAAATTGAGACTTTAGTTAAATAATATGCCAACTATGATACAAAATTAGAATTTGTGTACCTAGTAATTTATGTACCTAATCATTATGCTGTAATACCTAGGAGACACCAGACCTATCTTATTCTTGTTGATGGCTTCCAATGGTTTCTAATAAAATTTGTTATTCAGATTTATGTCCCCTTGTAAACAGACATGATGAAAACAAAAACATCACAGGGAAAAAAGCCAAACAAAACTGAATTACCTTGGTTTCTGGTGTAATGGCCTCCTCTAGTAATTTAGTTTTGGAACAATCAACAAAAGAAATCTTTAATCCAAATTCAGATGCAACCCGCCTGAAGTACCTGTTTGTACCTGAAGCAGAAGAGAATCAGATAAAATGGAAAGGACATTGTATTAAGAAATGTTCATTCCTTATTGGTATAACCACTTTAAAAATAAAAGGAAGCATCAGTTGCCAAGAAAAATACAACTAAGAGCAATTCTACTTTGGTTAAACAATTTGGCTATTGTGTATTGTAAAGAATATAAGACTTGGATTTTTTTTTTTTTAAGCTAGAGAGTCAAATAAAACATACTTGGTATCCACACCAAGTGGCATAAAGCAGAAAATGTTATCAAAACACACAATCTCTATTCTTCAAACATTAAGGAGCATGCTCTCTAAAACATCAGTGTCTTTTTAAACAATTTCTTCCCAGTACTCAAATCTAAAGTAAGTAAACCCATCTTGGCAACATTGTTAATATAATTCAGGACCCACTTTATTATCTTTAAATATCAGTTGACACAACACGAATGCAAGACATCACCTACCTCCATATACATCATCCATACATATAATTTGGTCTCCTGATTTTAAGAGATGGGTAATAGTCATAGTGGCTGCTAAACCTGAAGCAAAGGCCAAACCTAAAATAAAAACCAAGTTAGAGTAAACCAAAAAGTCAGACCAATAGGTTAAAAACACCTACAGCATTAACTTCATGTCCCTCTCTGATGAGAGGACGGTCATCACCACCGAGTCTCAAGAAGTCCCATGATGAATACCATCACAGAATACCCCTTTTCCATTTCAAAGATAAAATATCTATGTAATTAAAAATACATAAATCTGCTTTAATTAGATAACATTTCTCTGAAACACTTCAAGGAAATAATTTTTTTTATAAAATTCTGAGATAAAAGGACAATTGCCAATTAAATTACAGTTTGAAAATATCAGGCTCTAAAGAAATTTCAAACTTGAGGAATAGAGCTAAGCTATGATTCATTCACTATAGGGATATAACTGAGCAAATTTAACAAAGATCAAAATCACACCTGAGATCTGTCTAATAAATTTAATAAATTTTATTTTTAATTTTTTTAAAGTGAATCTCTCATAAACAAATGTGATCTCATGTTGAACAAACATAATAAAATAAAAAATAACTGGCATTGTGCACATTAAACACTATAGAAGAAAATATCCTGACAAAGTATCAATAGATCATCTTGATGATTAAAAAAAAAAAAATCACCTGTGACTGATAGAAGGGACAATCCAATTAACTTTTCAAAAAATAAAATTTAAAAAAAAATCTCCTCAGAGAAGTGTAGGTTAGGATTGCAGTTTTCTACTGCAATAATTCATATAGTTGGCTAAACTTCAAAGCATGGTTAAAAACAACCATGTTTTCTGGATCCCACTTGAAAAAAGTGTTTGACATATAAACACTCAGTCTTTATACCTCCTGCAGAAAATAATGCTCCACACACAGTACTAAATTTCAGCAATTTTGTGTTTAATTTCATCCAAAATAAAACCAACTCTCTCCCCAAAATCCCAAACAAACCCAGTAATTCACATTATTCTTTCTAATTCCTACACTCTTGCTGTGAGAAAACTCCTAAGACTGTGTTTATTCATTATTTTGCCCTCGTTTAGCATCATTTGCATAAATAATACAAAGATATTTAGTAGCAATCCACTCCCTTATGAAAATAGACACAAGATTCAAGAGCTAATTTCTAATCTCTGAGAGCACATTATCAGTGGTACCTGCTAGTGCCAATGTGCCTTGCTGCTATTCTCAGGCACAAATAATCAGGTGAATGAACCAGAATATAAGAAAGCTTATATTCTCTTACGTAGTCTTATAAAACTTAGTTAATTTTTATCTATTTATATTGACAGCTTCAGATAAAGAGTATCTACATGAATACCAAATGGAAAATTCTGCCATTTTGTCTCGATTCATATTTATTCTTACCCAATAATCATATATATGCACAGTCTACCAGCTGTGGGACCTTGGGTAAAAAATTCAATGTTTTAGTAAAATAACGGTTTTGAACTAGCTAATCCTTATTTCATTCCAATTCTACATTCTGTGCTTCTGTGATCTTCTTTATGCATGTAAGAACAGATTCCAGACTTCACAAACTTGGGATTGGAAATCACTTACTATACTTAGCCCCATCCAATGCTGCCACTGCTTTTTCCAAGCAATTCCTGGTGGGGTTTCCCGAACGGCTATATTCAAAACCCTGAAGGAAAGAAGTCAGAAATCTAAGTTTATTATCACAGTCATAACTAGACAACTCCACAACTATGGGTTCAGCCTACTGTAATACAGTTTTATTTATTTATGGCATGTCTTGCTGTAAAAAGGATAACAGTGTTGTGGTTCGAAGAGGCTCTGAAGTCAGCCAAACTGGATTAGAATTCTGTACCTACCGCTTATGAGCTACATGCCAACAGGCAAATTACTTAACGTTTCCCAGAGTCGATCTCAATAAATGGGGATAAACTACAGATATCTAGTTCATAAAACTGTTGTGATGATAAAATGAGATAATATATAAGTCCTCTCCATGGTGCCTAGCACATGCTAACTACTAGAAAACTGATTGTATTATTAGCATTATTATTATGTTAGACTTATCTTTACCCATTAATCTGGGGACATCATGAAAAGGGAATCACCTAAGCTAGGAGTAAACCAAATTCTAACATGTATTTCGTTTCCTAAGAAGTGACTGATGCAAGTTCTGTTTAGCTTCCAACAGGAAGCTATGAACAGATTCTACAAATGTTCAAGGATAAGATCTTGGCTCTAAAAAAAAAAAAGGACACATATGTAATACCCTTTGTAATACTTTTAGCAAAAAATAAAAATTATAAAAAAAAAAGATCTTGGCTCTACAAAAGAGATTCAAAAAATGAAGAGTAATTCTTGGCAAAGCAGGTCTACACAATACTTTTTAAAATTTTGTGTTATTTTATGTGTATGTCACCATACTAAATGTGTTCATCCAGTCATTTTATTTAATCCTTGTGCTCTGCTTTGAGAAAAGGAAAGCCAAATATTATAGGGAGTGTCACAACCGGAATTAAAACCTGGGATTTAAATGAAACTCTTAAAATTTCCTACCCGTCCCTCCCCACAAAGCCTTCCTCCTATAGCACATAACAAAAGACAACCACTCTTTACATATTTGTTTCTGATTCAGGAGCTCCCCGTATTAGTTATAAGTATCTATTTGTTTCTGATTCAGGAGCTCCCAGTATTAGTTATAAGTATCTATTTTAATTTGTTTTGTTGCTTTGTTTCCTTGTTTTTGACAAACTGTATACACATACTTTATAGGACTCCAGCTACTCTCATCTCTTCCCACCATCACTTAATTGATGTGACCTGCAGCTGTACTTACCAGACAGAAAAAAACTGTATTCATGTGGCAATTGCCACAGAAAGGTACCCCATGTTTCCATAAATATTCACTGAAAATTTAACTTTGGGGGTGGGGAGAAACCTATTTTCGAAGCAAATTCCTACCCCCTAGCCAAGTGATGGCGAACCTTTTGAAAAACCCTAACTTAACTCTGGTGCCGTGTCACATATAGAAATTTTTTGATATTTGCAACCATAGTAAAACAAAGATTTATATTTTTGATATTTATTTTATATATTTAAATGCCATTTAACAAAGAAAAATCAACCAAAAAAATGAGTTCGCGTGTCACCTCTGACACGCGTGTCATAGGTTCGCCATCACTGCCCTAGCCCATTCAATAGCTTTCCAAATGGAACTGAAGAATTAGATGCTTCTCATTCAGCCCGTCAAATTCTCTTTAGACCCTTAACTGATTTTTTAAAGATATAAAGTGGAGTTTATGGATTTTACCATCCCTGCTGGCTCTCTGAAAACATTAATTATTAATATCATAGCTACATGGTTAACTTTTGTGCAGAAGCTCCGGCAGCCACACGTTCACAAAACTCTGCATCAGGCACAAACCATATGCTGGAAGACAGGTTGTGTGTACACATACTGATTCCAAAATACAGTAGCTAGAAGTATCCTAAACCAACTGTAGAAATGTCCTTAGAATTCTACCTGACAAAACAACGGTTAAATCTAAAAGAATTTTCTTCAACTTACTATAGCATAACACAGTAAAGAGGTTTTTGAAGTTTAATCAAGGTTTAGGACCTACAAAGTTCATTTAACTAACTTTTTTCTGAACCTCAGACACTTTTAAGTACTCCAAGATCCATCGAGTATTCTACCAAAAGGGAAAAGGCTACATGGTTAACGAGAGGGCACTCTCATAAACCTTACATGTCATTTATCAGTGACTCTGGTCAGTTCCTTGTCTCTAAAAAGTGCATAATATCCGTCTTGCCCCCGGATCTGGTTGTTTTGAGGATCCAATGAAAAAAGTGTAAATCTGAGCACCATGAAATACCAAACTACTGAGCAATTATAATGTACCATACAGCTTAACCTACATATCAACAACTTATGTGGTAGGTACTATTATTAACCCATTTACACAGAAGCAACCTGAGGCTGGAATAGGTTAAGTAACTTTGCTCAAGGTCACCCAGATCAGAAGAGGTGGTGTCAGAACCCAAACCTAGGTCCTCTGACTACATGATCTATGCTTTTAATCACTAAACCACACTGCTTAAATGATGCAATGAGTTACATTATTGCTAGTATTATTGGAGTAGAGCACAATGTCGCTGAATGCCTAAAAGTGTGGTTCCAGAACACAGCTGGAATTCCAGCTCCTCAACTTATTAGCCCTGTGGCCTTGGACTAGTTATTTGTCCCTAAATCTCAGGGTTTTGTTGTTTTTTTTTCCCATGAGAAAAATGAGAACTTGGTTCAGACTACGGCTGTTGTCAGAATTATCTGAGACAATACATGGAATACACATGATATAACGCATGTAATTATGTATCTAGCATATAGTAAGTACTCAATAACTATTAACAATTGAATACCTCTACTGGATATGATCTTGATTCTGAGTTATAAAACCCTTAAATTTTTTTTAGCCGACTCATTATATTTTTATAATTGTTGCTGCTACAAGTAATTCAAGGAAGTTATGATCCTCAGTTTTGAACTGCACATTTACCAGAATCACATGAATTTAAGGCCAAATCTAGATGGCAAGTTGGACAAACTGTTCCTTCTAGTCCTGCTTATCAAAAGAAATATGATCACTGGACCATCCCATACAAATCTTTATGGCAAGGAGGATTACAGGTGTAGCAAACAGCCGCCCCGGCTGCCTTCCTGATGTATGTCATTTTATAAATTACTTGGGTGCCTTTTAAACTTGTCAGCCATCTCTCTCTTTCCGCCCAACCCTGGACCGCCCCAGCCAGACCCAGCTCACCGAGTGCTTGCCGGGAGCCCCCTGCTTGAACGTGGTGGACATGGAGATGGGGGCCACGACAGCCCGAGAGCTCCATTGCTCTGGTTCCTGGCCCACATGGATGGCCTGCGTGGCGAAATGCTGGAAGTTTGGCAGGAAACCGTATGGGGAGACGTCTTTTTTCTGCATGCTGAGCTGCGAAGGAAGGAGAGAGGAAAAGAGCGAGGAAGATGAAACTAGGAAACGGGTGCGTGAGGGCTGGAAAGAGACCTAGAAGAACCAGGCAAAAGGGAGCCAATAGGAAGCCAGGGACCAGCAGCCCGCACACAAAAGCCGGACTCGGCGACTCTGCGGCGGGGACTTAAGTGGCCTGGGAGGGTTTGCACGGCCCGAGGGGCGGAGCCAGCGCCACCCAATGAGCGAAAACCCTGACGCGGTCCCCGCTCCTCATTGGTTGGCAGTGGAGGCGTTGCCTGGAGCGTCGCCGGGCCCGGCCTTCCCGGTTCAGGTGGTGGTTTGCAGAGTCCGTTTTTCCACGTGGTGCTTGTCCCCGCGGGCGAAATTCCCCAGTTCGGGCTCGGGAGGAAGCTGCCTTGCTAGTTCCTGCGAGATACCCGGGCGGTTTGTGTGACCTCGGGCCAGAAGCTCGCGGGAGACTTGGAAAAAGACTGGTTTGGTGTTGAAACCCAGTAACCGGTAAACAGGCCACATAAATAGCCTCCTCTCCCTGCAGCCCTTTGCCCTCGACCTTCCGCACCTCCCCCGCCCCCAGCACCCTTTGTCCTGAGGGTGGTGCTGACGGACGCAAGCGACAGAGTGGAGATTCCTTACAAAAAACGTGGTCCAAGCTGCCAGATGTGTAGCTTGGATTCTCATTATCCGAATGACCCGGTACTTGCCATGATTGAAACGGGAGCGAAGGTCATATTTTTCTAGCAAGCTATTGTAGTGAGGGTCTCCAAGCAGAACTCTGGCAGCCTCCTAACAGCTATTCAAACTTGAGCTTTTTTCAAGCATCATTATCTTCTTTGAAATACCCAGAAAAACTCTTCCGGGTGAAAAAAAAGATAGTTTGATTTTAAACAATTTATTGGAGCCTCAAATCCTTACCAAAAAAATGCTTTCGTTGTCCCATAATTGATAGCAACATTCTTGTAGGAAAGGGGAACAGTCCCATGGCATTGTTTACCACTCACCCCGCACCCAGAGACCTACTCTCTCACAAGGATCACTCTTTTAAAACAAACAACAAAAATCTTCTTGATCCCTAAACAATACAGACCTGTCTATCCTATTGACTACTGTGACTATTTTCTAGGACTAGGGAATTTAGGAATATTTCTGTTCCTGCAAAGTCTTAGCTACAGATTTGGAACTTTATTAAGCCAATTAAGAAAGAGGAGAATCCAAAATAAACAGCTCTCAACTTATCTCAAGAGTTATGTATAACTGTACATGGGCATGTTTATCTGATATGATGCTTAGGTACCAGGAAAGTCTAACGCAGTCCTAATTAGTTTACCTCCTAATATTTGTGGACAAACTCTGAGTTGCATAAATATAGATGTCTTATTTAGTGTTATTGTGATCAAGGATTCTTTAAAATATGGCACCAATATAAATGCTCTACATTAAGCCTGTTTTACTCTCATAAATTGAGGAACCTTTATTAGGTGGTAGCTTAATATTATGTATCAAGGATTTCTAGGACTCAGCAATTTTACTTGGAGGAATTTATCCTTCAGATGTATTCCTACACGTAAGTAAAGATGAGCGAGGATGTTCTTTATACCTACTTTTGCCTTTTTTTTATAGCAAAAGAATGGAAAATAGCTCAAGTATATCCATCTATAGGAGACAGGTCAGTCATTCTGCAGAATGACCAAGAAGCAAGAAGAGATTTATATGAGCTAGTATGTTGTGATCTCTAATTTCTGAGACTTCAAAGCAATGTGGAAGCAATGTATATGTTATTCATCCACTTTTTTGGGAATATATGCAGTACCATGTTGCATTCATTTCAGACAGATATATATGGATTAATGTGCATAAAAATTCCTGTGGTGGTAGAGACCATGAACCTACAGTAGAAAAGTAATTTTGTTTATGTTTTATTTGCTTTCGTGTTCAAGTCTTATACCATGGGCATATATTACCTTCTCAGCATTAGTAATGCCAAAATCCTAATTTAAAAATTGCAATTAAGCAAGTTACTTAGCAAAAAACTTTTTAAATGAATAAAACATACTTTAAATATAGTAAATGCTATTTTGGGGTGTGTGTGTGTGCTGCTTTTTCATGTAAGCTAGCATGTAAACAACAAAGCGATTATCACAACACTAACTGAAAATGGGAAACCATCTCATTATCTGATTATGAAAATTGGAAAGATGAATGGTTATGTCCTCAATCTATGTGGAATTTTGAATTGACCCAATTTGGGCCTGTCAGATCTACCCCAATGAATAACAATATATATATAGTATATGGGAAAAGGACATTTTTGTTAGGAAGATTTAGAAAATTATTTTGTTATACTGGCTTCTATTGTAATGACACCTTTACATTAAGTGCTACAGAAATATGGTGTAATACTGAAATTATAGGCAAAATAACTTTATTTGAGGCCAATAAAACTTATGATAATATTGATACTGAAGATCCAATGTGGTGGATCTTATAATTGGAGATGGGGGTCGCTACAGCCTCAGAGGTCCATTGCTCTGGTTCCTGCATGGCAAAATGTTGGAAGCTATGCAGGAAACCTTGTGTGGAGACGTCTTTTTTCTGCATGCTGAGCTGCAAAGGAAGGAGAGAGGAAAAGAGCGAGGAAGATAAAATTAGGAAACTGGTGCGTGGGGGCTTGAAAGAGACCTAGAAGAATCAGGCAACCAAAGAACCCTTTATATGTATCATATCTATTTGAAACTTCAGAATTGGTCATCATTTCTGGGTAAATTTGGTCTTGCCATTGATTATCAGAATTAATTCAAGTAAGTTACTTTAGTTATTGAGCCTCAGTTTTTCTCAATAGAAGAGTGAAAATAACAATTCCTATTCTGTATTCGATAGTGCTACTCTAAATCTGCATATCAGTGCCCATCAGTGAACTATTTATTAAAGATCAGAAATTAAGAGTGAGAAATAGGAACTTTTATAAAATTTGACAGTAATTTTTTGTGTTTTGACTCTAATTTTATGACATTTAAAATTTTCATTTTTCTAGCTATTTGTTTTTGTTGTATTATACAAAAGTATCAGTCTTCATCAGATTGTAAATAAAACAAAGCTGGTTCTTTACCACAGATTATTTGAAATGGACAGTCAGAGATTCACTATGAAGATGGAAGTAAAGGGTCTAGTATAGTGTCTGTTGTGTAGCAAGCAACTGGTGAATGGCTATTGTTATGAACACCAGTCTTGTGATTTCTCAGTTCCTATGATAATAGAAGTAATTCCTCCTTTGGAATGCTCAAAATATAACCCCATTGGTTATATTGACCTGGTAATTGGTTAACCATGTCCAGGCCTATAAGTCCCTGTTTCTTTGAACAGCCAGTCTTAAAGCACAATAAATTAGAATCACTGACTTAATAGCAATATATTTCACTTTTCTGATTGATTATACTTTTAATTGAAGATTGATTATACTTTTAATTTTCTGATTGATTATACTTTTAATTATACTTTTAATTGTTGTTAAAAATGTATGTAAGAGCCCTGACCGGTTTGGCTCAGTGGATAGAGCGTCAGCCTGCGGACTGAAAGGTCCCAGGTTTGCTTCCGGTCAAGGGCATGTACCTTGGTTGTGGGCACATCCCCAGTGGGGGGTGTGCAGGAGACAGCTGGTCGATGTTTCTCTCTCATTGATGTTTCTGACTCTTTATCCCTCTCCCTTCCTTTCTGTGGAAAATCAATAAAATATATATATTTTTTAAAATGTATGTAAAAGACCTGGCCGGTGTCGCTAAGTGGTTAGAGCATCAGCTTGTGCACCAGAGTCGTGGGTTCAATTCCAGGTCAAAGGCACATACCTGGGTTGCAGGTCCAATCCCTGCCCCCATTTTTGGTGGGTGTGGGAGGCAACCAATCAATGTTTCACTGTCACGCCGATGTTAGTGAGGATTACAAAATAAATAGTAAAATTTTTTTAAAATGTTTGTAAGAAATACATTTTGTTACTCTTAAGTGCTTAATGAACAGTATGTATTTGAGTGAGTAAAAAGAGTATTGTAATTGAAGTAGAACAAAGAGAATTTTTAGGGCAGTGAAAATAGCCTGTATGGTGCTATAATGATGGCTATGTCATACATTTGTCCAAACCCATAGAATATAAAATAGCAAGAGTGAACCCTAATGCAAACTGTGAAATTTGGGTAAATGCAATATGTCAATGCAGGTTCACCAGTTGTAGCAGATGAGTGATGTTGATCATGGGGGAGGCTATGCCTGTGTGGGGTCAGGAGGTCTTAGGGAAATCTCTGTACCTTCCTCTTAATTTTGTGGTGAACCTAAAACTTCTCTTTTAAAAGTCTTTAAGAAGTGACATAAGCCCTGACTGGTTTGGCTCAGTGGATAGAGCATCGGGCCTCAGACTGAAGAGTCCCGGGTTCAATTCTGGTCAAGGGCATGTACCTTGGTTGCAGGCTCGACCCCCAATTGGGAGCATGCAGGAGGCAGCTCATCAATGTTTCTCTCCCAATAGATGTTTCTGACTCTCTATCCCTTTCCCTTCCTCGCTGTAAAATATCAATAAAAAATATCTTTTTTAAAAAAGTGACATAAAATGTGTTAAATGAGAAAAAAATATTGTTAACTTTTGCTGCATTTGAGATTTATGTGGTTATTAGATAATATTGTTTAAGAACTACTAGGTGTTAATGCAATCCTGTATATTGCATAAGAATATAATTTATACTATGACTAAAAAAAAGACAGGATTTATTACTAGAAATGACAAAGACCAATTATTACTTTTTGAATTGTGTTTTATTAGATAAACTAGAGGCCTGGTGCACGAGATTCGTGTACGGGTGCAGTCCCTAGGCCTGGCCAATGATCAAAGCGCGAATGTCTGGTGTGTAAGGGAAGGTCCCAGCTGACTCTGGGCCCTGGACAGCACCTGGGCCCCCGGACCCCGCACACCCCCCTTCGCCTGAGTCACGGTGCCCGAGTCCCCACACAGAAATGTGGTGAGTGCGGCCAGATGCTGCGGGCCGGGGCACAGTGTGGGCCTCTGGGCCACCCATCAGCGCCACACAGAAGCTGGGCAGGCAGCACACTCTCTCCCAGCTGGCCTCGCAGACTGGCTCCTGCACAAACCCATGGGGAGCCTGACCTGCCCCTG